TTGCGCTAATCGCATAAGTCTTTATACGTCAAACAATACAATTTTTTTTTTAGAGCTGCTTTAAAGGCACATTGCAGAGCGAAATTATGACTAGGAACAGCGCGCTGATGCAGCGCTGACTTGAACATATGCAGCGCTGTATTATTACTAGGGCCGGGGTCACACTGCTCCTACATCATTCATCACACACGGTGTTCGCTGCAGAGATGATGACAGAATTATGTCCGGGGACGTCTGACGCATGTATAAAAGCATTTTTACTTTCATACATGCTTCCAACATGTCTGCGGGCAGTTTTTTTATGACCAATGTGACGCTAATACAATGGAAGAACCACGCCTCAGACAGTGTCATATGCAGACTGTCTTTTGTATTATGCAGTGTGACGGCGACTTACTATAATGCGAAGTGAGCTCCGCGTCGTCAAGGTCAACACTATTTCCAGCGCTGTCTATAATAGCGCTGAGGTGACGCTGTGGTGTATGCGCGAACAGGCCTCGTCCTTAAGAATGACGAAAAACGCAGAAACAAGCAAAAGTGGATATGGTACAGACGGTCAGAACGAAGCGATTCTGGAATCGTGTGTTTTGGAATGGAGCTCTCCGCCTGCGTGGCGGCGAGACCCGCCTTTCGTGACTGCGGAAAAAATGATGTAGACGGAGGAGTCGAGCCTTGGACCACTTTCGGCGCCTCTCATCCGTGAAGCGCGTCAGCAGCGCCTGGCGGCCATCCTGAAGGCATGTGTGAATAGCCGAACGACGGCGAGTCGACTGCCCCCGCACACCCTCTCCGTCGACATGCGCGGCGCGTCTCTGAGTAACGAACCTCTCGAAACTGCTACACCGTGGGAAGTGAAGCATCAGTGAGGGAGGACAACATCTTTAGGACGCAGCTGTGCAGACGCGACCTTGGAGAGAGTTCAGCGGCCTTCGCGGCCTGACGTTCACGTGTCCTCTCGGAGTTCACTTGCCCCCTAGTGTATCTGTTTTCAGCCAGACGCTTTCCGTCTTTCCGCTGTAGCTCTTTGTTTGCTTTCCAATGCTCAGCTCGAGGAACGGATTGAGGCTATCGATGTCTTCTTCGAAGTGTTTTTGCTTTTCCGAAGATACGTTCGTCTCGTGGTCCCGACCAGGCCATGTTTATCGGGGCGCGCATACGAGCGGGGGTTTCTATAAATATCTATGTAATTCGCATTTAATTTACGCGAACAACGGCGAACATTGGAAGCACCACACACGGACGTAAACAAAGACGCCGACAAATCAGGGTCGGCCCTCAGGGCTTTGCTCGTTAATTTGTCAGGAATGTGCTCAAGTAAGAGAGATGATGCTGTTAAAGTGCGAGCCACTGGATGTTCCCATCTAGCGCGCAAAACGTTCCTTGGCGTTTGCCGGGGAGAAATAAGAGCGTGCCTGATGGCTTTCGGTCATATTGATGCCAGCAGAGTTAGTCCACCTACAGAGTTTGCCAGCACAAATACTCGTCGGGGTCTAGATTCATAAAAGAAGAAGGTATTCCCAGTCGTCGCGTATAACAACGCTATCTTGTTATTTCGAACACTTTGTTCCTACTGTCAGCTATTCTCACTTTAATGATTCACACTTCTTCTTTTATTAGCGAACATTCCAATAGAGAAAATGATTTTCGTTCCCCAAAGGCAGCAAAAAGTCAATATGCAGCGTATCAAAGCTTCTCCAGCGAAAAGCTTGTCTGTCGTAAAGTGACTCAAATCGCCAACGTAGAGAGGAAATACTACTTGCCGCTGCATTCAGCATAATGAAGCAGATGCCGTTGACGTTCCTGGCTGCCACCGGCACAGAAAGTCGACTGTACTAGTTTAGGAAATAACCAATCGCCTCTTCTTTCTAATTTATTTCACTGACGCTTTATTCGTAGTCTTCCTTAATTGGAACGTCCAATTAACACAGCACTTCATAAAATTAAATTGGGAAAATTTGGACTTTATACAATACAAACTATAAAAAATTAATTACATCATTTTAAATTTTTTAAACAACCCTGGGTCAAACTTGGACGTTGTGCTTGAACTTACATTTCACTCCGTCCGAACCCGAGTTCGATGGTTGTGCACACTGTGACAACCCACAATATTAAAGATTCCCGACGTCGCCGTTCATTGTAGAATAATACTAGTTCCTTATCCAAAAATAAAAATACAAAAACACCCCTACGGATAAACGTTGTGTGGGCATGTCGCCGTGCGTGCGTGAGAAACACGAATAGGCCGGATTATGCATTTTCGAAAATCGTGTAGGCGCAACCAGCGGCTTGTTGGCGGAAAAAGAGGTCAGCCTTGAAGCCGCCGCTCTTGGGTAAGAATTGGCGCGGAAACTGACTGAGTTCAGGCCGCCGTGGCTAGGAATATGTCAAGCGATATCTCGGGGGAGAAACTCCTCAGCGTCGGCAAGCGATGCGACTAAACCAACCTGCTAATATTTCGGACACTTCTCCGGTATACTACGTACTCGGATATAGCATTCGGATATAATTTGACTATCTGCGTCCCGTTCCGTCACCACGGTGCCAGAAAAGACAAATGCTATTTTGAGCGCATTAGTGAGTACGTTTACAGCAGCATGGGCAACCAGGTAAGCCTACTGAAGCAAGCACGTTAGGTGTAGAGAGTTAACGGAAAGCAAACGAAGAACAGAACGCCATGTGGAAAGCCTCTAACCACGATCCCTGACGCTTTACGCAAAGAACAGCCTTCAAACGAAATTTGGAACAGCAGAAGACAGGACCAAGTTTATTTTCCCCCAGACAGCAGCAAGACTGAGACGAGAACTGTGTTCACTTCCACTTCGACGGGGAGCGGCAATAAGGCACGGGCCAGTGGAACGTCCAATATACCCACTGTCGGTCGCCACGTGGCACGACTCGCACATACCGCTTGCACATAAAACCGTGCAAATTATCTACTTAGAAAACGTGAGGGTGAGTATAATGCCGAATAAATTTATTTTGCGTAAATTCGTACTGTATATGTGCTTGCAAGACTGCAGGTCCTCGGGCCCGATTCCAGCACCACTTGAAGTGTCGAAGTATAGAGTTGTAAGAGTTGCAATAAACGCGACCTGTGTTGTCATGCCGCGTAACCCGGATCGTCGTAATGAATTTGACGAAGGCGAACACGCCAATTCGACATGTCTTAGAGTGTGTGCGAAAAACGAAGCCAGATTAGCCTGCGAAAACTTCGCTTGATCGAAGACCTCTGCCATGGACCTTTGGTCTCTGAGGGCACATCTCTGAGGGCAAAATAAATGTGCAACTATCGGTCAGTCAACAGAGCCACCAGCCACGGGACGGCCTCTCTCGACTTTGTATACGAGACTTGCCGAGACAAGAAGTTATCGAGATGTATGACGAACCACGATATCAATTGATACTGTGGAATCTCTAGGACGATGATTTCATGAGACATTCATTTAATGGAAATTATGCGGTTCCAGGGTTCGGTTAAGTACAGAGACCGACACACTTTGGAAAGAATATCTGCCTGTGGGGGGTTCCTTTTCTATAATTATGTAACTTATAGTCGGTGAGAGATTGAGAATTCAGGGTAAGCGCCTTTTACCTCTCTCCACTTTAGCAAAGCGAACGCTCGAGAGGTCACCTCCTTTTAAGCGTTCTCTCTATACTAAAGTCAAAAAAGGTAGAAAAATGGCTAAATTCAGCAATTTGTTTTTCCTTAAAAGTTGTGCAGTAAAAAAGAAAGAAAAAAAACGCAAAGAGATAACGATAATCCCGCACGAGGTAGCTACCACTATAATATAATGAATAAATAAATGGATAAATAAATTTAAAAAAAAAATAAAATAAAAAATAGACGGCTGGAACGTCACCCTAAAGTCCCTCCATGCGGAGTCGTTCAGCGGAAGTGTGGCAAACCATGTGCACAAGACTTCATTGGATTTTGGGTAATGCAGTTGCAGTGCTTGCAAATAGTACATCAGTAGCATAGCCGACAAAGGTTCTGCCGGAAGGGCATTCCCTTGTTCTACGGAAAGCTCCCTCAGCCGCCTACAAAATGCTTCCATATCCTTCGTTTTAGGCTGCATTCCTTTGAACTGATTTAATTTTGCCACTCTGAAGTGAGCACTGACAACTGCCACGTCTAATAAACACGTAAAAAAATAAACAAAAAATGCAAAAAGGCCAAATGTGTTGCTATTTACGGCAAGCTGAAGACAGGGACAATATATAATAAATTAATGACAACCAACAACGCGTCTCGTTACCTTATTCCCCCCCTTGCATCCAGCTAGATTAGGTACTCGGATCACCACATCGCTTACAATTTAACGCTCTTCTAACTAACGCTATCGCATCGTGGAACAAAATTCAAAATCGACGGCGCTCGCTACGAGTTACCAGAAGACTCGGATACAAAGTTACCATCAGATGCTGCGTTATACAATTTACGAATCTCCGTATCTAAACATTCACGTTCCGACACAATCTCTCATACGCGATATACCGCTGTCGCCTAAAAGTAAGACGGCAGACGATTAGAATTGACGCAGCTTCAAAAATGACGACACATCGACCCGCTTTTTGGCATGGCTGCCAGCCAGGCCGGCCAGACCCAGCGCAGCCACGCCAGGCCACGCCGCATAACTTTGGTATACGGTCCCTGGTCTTCCTCCCCATGGTCCTTCCCAAAGCCATTTCCCGGAGCGCCAGATTGTCTTCCTAACCCCCAGTTCGAGCGCCTCTCCCCCTCCTGACTACACCCCGCGAGCGCACACTCCCACCGACCCAACCCACCACTTTTAACGGGTAACCAGTCGAAGGCCTAGGGGAAGGGAAGCCCCCCTACCAGAAGGTTCCATCCATTACTACGTCGGAGGGTGGGACGGTGGACTACGCTGCGAGGAGGGGCACGAGTGAGAGGAGGAATCGAAGAAAAAGCGTTTTGCGTCCTCGGAGAGCGTACACGAATTCGTATAAAGCGGCTTTTCTTCGTCGGCGTCGGATTGGCGGGCGGGCGTCACGTGCCTCCTTTTCCGGATGGCGGAGCGCGTCGCTCTTCGGCGGCGGTCGGGCACGGTTGTTCGCCCACTGACAGCTGCGCTCACACGTGCGGCGTCGTCTAGCCGCGCTGCTGCGACCGGTCCCAGTTGCTACCCACGAAACGCGCGCGTTTTTAACGAGCGCTGCTGGTGTCCCTGGGGTCGCGAGTTCTCGACAAGTTCAAGGTAGACCCAGAGCCCGAGCTCGACCATGGATAAGTTACTCGGAGGACTGAAGAATCTCATCAAGATCGACGCGATCGTCACCGACAACCACGTCTTCCGGCTGCACTACAAGGTGACGTGCGCGGTGCTGATTGCCTTCAGCATCTTGGTCACGAGTCGTCAGTACATCGGCGACCCCATCGACTGCATATCTAAAGACAGCGTGCCTTCGAGAGTGTTGGACACCTTCTGTTGGATACACTCCACGTTCAGCGTCAAGGATGCGTGGAACAAGAAGGTTGGCATCCAGGTGCCGTACCCGGGTGTGGATAAGTACACGCCTGGTGAAGAGCGGGTCTACCACGGCTACTATCAGTGGGTGTGCTTCGTGCTCTTCTTCCAGGCGGTACTGTTCTACATCCCGAGGTACCTGTGGCTCGCGTGCGAGGGCAACAAGATCAGCACGCTCGTGCTCGACCTCAACTCGCCCGTGTTGTGCGACGACAAGCGCAAGTGCAGCAGGAAGCTTCTGGTGGAGTACTTCATCAACAACATCGGCCATCACAAGATGTACACCTTCTACTACTTTATCTGCGAGATCCTCAACTTCGTCAACGTCATCGGCCAGATCTACCTCATGGATGACTTTCTAGGAGGCGAGTTCTCCACGTATGGCACCAAGGTCCTGGAGTTCACGGACTGGGACTGGTCCGTCCGCTTCGATCCCATGATCAAGGTCTTTCCCAGGCTAACCAAGTGTACCTTCCACATGTACGGCTCCTCTGGAGACGTGATGAAGCACGACGCTATGTGCATCCTGCCCATCAACATCATCAACGAGAAGATCTACGTCTTCCTCTGGTTCTGGTTTGTGATCCTGGCCGTGTTATCCGGAGTGGTCATCGTGTACCGGGCCGTGCTCCTGCTATGGCCCCCAGCGAGGTTCCATGTGCTCAAGTCCAGGGCACGTCTTGCCAACATCACCTACCTGGAGAGAGTGCTGGACCGGTGTAAGGTCGGTGAATGGTTCCTCCTCGATTTGCTGGCCAAGAATCTGGACCCCGTCCACTATAGGGACCTTATCTCTGACCTGGAAAAGCACCTGGAAGGCAAGAGCCTCGAGCTGGTCTGATACACCGCCGACACGCTTATCCTTTAATCGCGTTTTAGGTTCGTGTCATTTATTGAAAGCCCACCTCTTTATCGTTGGCGTGCGGCTATTCCTAGGAGTTGTCGCAAGGCTTACCAAGTTGACGCGCTGCCAATCGTCATCCTTGCCGTTGTGCAAACGGGCCATTCATGCACAAACTGCCGCGATCTAGCTATCAATGAGCAACCTCATTCCGTCACTCTCCTTGTTTTGAGGTAGCCTAGATCGAACGCCCTTCAGCTGTCATCTACATTTTCCCCCATCCGTTTCACCCAACCAGTGCCTTTTTATTTTCATCGTAGCATAGTTGGGAGGCAGGATCCTCTCGTCCTTACAAAGATGGCAAACAAATGCGGGAGCGTGGTGTTAGCTACGTCGCTGCGTCCCATGAGAAAGTGAATGACGCGTTGCTCCACTGCCTTCGTCGCTTCCCGTGTTGGCGCCGCGGTACAATGACGCCATTGCGCTCACCTGGCGACGGGAGGGTGCAGATCGATTTGCAGAGGTCGGATTTCCATAGCTCCGTCCCGTGTTCACTCTCCGCGCGGGAGCCATTTCGTCCAGGAAATGCCGCTGAGAGTCGGACAACTCGGTCACGCGCGCCGCCACACTTTTTAGCAATGATGTCGGAGAAGACAATTACGAGCAATTTTGTAACGAATGTTGGAACGAAGGTTGTGCTATGTTTGCAGATGGGTGCCCTTTTACAAGTTCATAGAAGGAGTTGTGACGAACAAATTCCGGCCACTCTTCTGGCGCTTGCCGTAAAATGATATACTGTATTCGGCTTGCATTCGAAACCCTGTACAAATCACTAAATTGTGTGACATGTTTCTTTGGCCCCACATTTGATTGCTCTGATTTCTGTAAATTTGGACAGAAACAAGAACAAGTTAAAACCCTATTATAACTTGGAGAAAAAAATGTTACTGGTAGTGTTAGTAAAAAAAAAGCAGCCCAAACAGTAATGCAAACCACTATTTCTGCGGCGTCATCCCCGATAGGAGAGGAAATCGCCCTTATCTGTTGGTGAAGTTTTCTTACGCAGGATTTCTCTTTTCTTTTTTTTAACCACCCTCCCACGTCATATGAAAAGCAAACGGGCGCATGATTTACCAGTCGTTGCTCCTTGCCAAAAGCCGCCAACAGACAACAAAGGCCATTTTTGTGTGGCCCGGCCTTTTGTACTCGTGAGCCGGTCTGGCCTTGGGGGTTCCCACCGTCCAATGGCAACGTTGAACGAACAGCTTTCAGGCATCTTTTTTTTTTTTTTTTTTCTCCTTCCGACCAACACGTTGTGAATCACATTGGAGAGGGAGCGCAACCGACTAAAATGAATAAATGGAAAACGCGTTCACCCACCTGGTTCGAAACGCGTGTCGTGTAATATCACACGATACAGGATGCGGCAATGCAACGTGCTGTCCGAGCGAGTGTATATCGGTATTCAGTTTCTGTTTCCGGGCTAACAAAAGAGTTCGAGATTGCGATCTTTTTTCGCTCGTCGCCGCTTCTCGAAGGACGCCGTAGCTGCTTCGCGGAAACTGCGCCACGCGGTGGGATGACGCAACTTTCGGGAGAGAGACTGGACTCCGACCTTCCGCGAATTATTAAGTCACACATTGGCGCACATCGTACTCGTCACTAATCTTGAGCTCTTCCGTCCGGGCATATAACAAAATTGGTAGCGTTTTTTTTTATTTTTAATTTAAGTCTTTTTTGTTTTCAGTAGAGTGAAAGAAATCTAAAATGAGCACATACAAAATTTCGAGGCGTCATGTCTTTTCCTCAGTCTTTAGACACTTGAGCACACTTTGAGGTTAGTTCCACTTCGAGTTTTACTTCTTTTATCTTCTCGGTGTGTCAAGACCTCTATGATGCGTTATCTACTCAAAATTTTGATTGGTTTCTGAATTTAGGCTTAGGGACTTAACAGATGGACGTGCAAAAATGGGGATTCACACTTTGGATAAGCGCAGCGCTGCAATAATAATGGTGGAGGTGACGGAGGATTATGACAATCCCAGCGGTTTCATTTTTGCGTAGGACGCTGATGTTCTGTCAAGCGTCTACACTTACTCTTGTTGCACTATCTACTCTAGCGAGTTTCACTGCCATGCCATTTGGAGTCAGTCATGTTAGGTAGGAAGTGCTTTGACTAGTTGTGTGGAGGCAACTTCTATCATATATTGTAATCATCTGTATGTGTAATATCATATTTCATTCAGCTATGCCTTATTTTCGAAGCATTTTGGAATGGCATTTTATACTGCTAGGTGTGCAAGGATGCATAACTTCGTATGTTCAACATGCCATGTGTACAGAAGCAATAAGCAAGGACCAATTTTGATACCAATGTAGGTGCATTTCTAAGCAGGCCAGGCATTCCTTGTACTATGTATTCAATGTTATATGTATAAACATTTGTATACGGTTTCAGTGTTCTGAAAGAAACATTTTCGCATGTTGAACATTCCTGATGTTGCTCACATCCACAAGCCTTGACCATTATATGTCTGGATGAATTGAGGTGTGAAGGAGTTTAGTAGTGCTGTTTGGCAGTTGCCCATTGTGAATGTTCGAACTTTCTCTAATTTTTTATTATAACTAAATGTTACATTTTGCCAGTAGTTTGTGATATGATCACTGCAAGTTGAAAGGTTAGTGCTCTCTGAGAAGGAAGCAATTTTCTGCAAGCATATATACTTGTCAAGGCTGTGGATACCAACTATATGAAAATTCAGGCCGAAGCCATTTGCCCAGCTAAGAGGAAATAATCCCTATACGTCCATTGTAGTCTGTTGTGCTGAGCCAACATAGCTTGTGCCATCGTTGGATGTTATAAATAGTACTCAGTGATTGGATTAAAATTTCTTCTATTGAACTCTAAATGCCCATACTGCCAGAATGCTACTACAGAAAATTACTGAGCACTATTTTTTACGAAAGTTTGTGTGAATCCCTACGAAAGAAAAAGCAAAACTTGGTGATATAGGGTCTCTGTGCCGTCATTATTAAATAAAAAATCGTGGTGAATTACCGCATATCAACATATTTGTAATGTAAACCTGTAGGGATTTTTGATATTTGTGCTTATGCAGCTCCTTTTGGAGTTGTCGAATATGCATATCCTTAATTGGGGTTGACGGCCACTATCGAGGGGAAAAGCTTAAATAAAGAGCTTGACTTCTGGCTGTGGTTTCAACACCAAGTTTGTAAGCCATCTTCACTACATATCGAAGTGCTCTTTATCAACAGTGTATCAACAAACTATGAACAAACTATGTATATTTATTTTAAAATATAATCTTTTCTGCCCTGCTATTTCCAAAGCCTAGCCGACACAGGGTACTATTCAATTTTACAGCATAACTTGCTCTGCAAGTTCTTAGTTTACAGTGTTTTCAGCCATAGATAAATAACAAAAACGGGGGTCAACAATGTTTCATGCTCTTATTATGCGGTGGTATGAGCATTTCTAGGAAGGAGTGCAGGTCCGCTTTTTACAATCAATGTTCAAGCAAGCAATTTTATATTGATGTCTTCTTATTGGCGGTCTCTTCTACCTGCAGTAATGTTTGCGTGTGTTTTATTCACCTCTACTAGTTAACAATTTGTAGTCAGCTGTAGCGTTTACTCAAAGTGCTGTAATGTTTTAGCATAGGCATAAAATGCTTGGTCTCCCGAGTCCTGGCTGATGGTGCATGTGCAAAACCATGGAACGAGAGGTGTCAAAGGATGGTTCTCTCATAAACTGATTTGTTTGTTGACTGCTTTCATATTTTTAAGCATTTCTGGATGTTTAGTTTTCTTCTATTTATTAATATTCGCTGCATCATCTGCTCCAGTGTTTAATGAACAAACTATTTAACCTTTCTCAAGTATTTTAATTGTATGTTATGCTTTTTAACCGTTTTTGAAAGCAATGATAACAGTGTACCATGTCTTCCAAGTGCTCTTTTACTTAGCACTTAGGGTCTTGAATTTAAGACATATCATTCTGAGCGTTTATACTCCAGCTTTTACTGCTTTTTGTATGGACTTACAACTTTGCTGAAGGCTTTTAGTGGGTGTCATGATGACTTTTGATACTAACATGTACTTTATTCTGATCATCTTCACTGGTGCCTATTTGTGATGTTTGTAGTATCGATCAAACATCTCTGTGTACTGCCAGGAAGCAGTATATAGGCGAAAGAATCGCACATTACATAATTCTTTATGCAGAAGTGAAAATGTTTGTACATTTTGTTTGTGTGTCTGTGAGGGGATTTTTTTTTCGAATGACTACAGTTGTTTTTTCTGAAGACTTTACAAATTGGCTTGTATTGGATTTTTTGGTTACCTTATGGAACATGTGATGCTGTTGTCATCATACTGACATGCTCCTTTTTCTAAGCAATAAACTGTTTGCTAGATTATCCATTCTCGTTATGATACAATGATTAACACATGTGAGCTTGTAGCTTGCAACACACTATATAAGTCCAATTCACTGCTGAAATATCACGTACAGATACTAGTCATAAATGAGTATACATCATATATAGGGTTCCGTGTTTTCGGTTTTTATATTTTCAAAATTCGGCGTACTTTTTTCGGTGTTTATTTTAAGATTCAATTTTCGTTTTTTTTTGTGTATTTTTATGCCCACAGACGTTTGCCGGTGTTTTGGGATGAATACTAAAGAAACACCATCGGACACCGGATCAGATGATCCTTGTAGCTCTCTGATATTCGTGATCACTCAAAGAATAACGGCACAGATCCATCGAAAAAAAAAAAAAGAAACATCGACACATTAATTGTCGAGTGTGTACAACTGTAAAAAAATAAATAAAAAAAATAAAAAACCCGCAGAAGTACAAACAAGTTAGTGACCAAAAAACATGGAACTTCACCTTCTGTACATCGGGATTACGTGATCTTATAATAAACACACATGTACTTTCCCAGGTTCGTTGATCCACGCTCATTCTTTCCTGTTATTGACCCTGGGCTTCGAGAATGCCCTCCCAACTTTAACACTGGACACTCGCAGGCTGAGGAGATGAAGCGCTGCCTGAGCCAAAATCGGCCAATCAACCAATTGTAACTACCAAAAGAGAGACGGTGCGTCGTTTTGAAGCACAACATATTTCGTGTACTCACTAAACTCTGGCTGCAGATCTTGAATGAAGCGATAAACCCTATACTAGCCCACACTGGAACGTTCTTTTTTTTTTTTTTTAATGCCAGGAATTTGACACATTCAGCCCGATCACAGAAAGGATACAGATTTCCCGCGAAGAACCACCCAAGACCTCTTTTGTTGCATGTTGAACCTTGGAAGAGGGCAGTCACGAAGAGGTCACACAATGTCGAACCTTGCAACTCCCTCTCTCCCCTCCCCCACCCTGCCCCCACCCGTTTCGACGCGGCCATAAAAAACTGACCATTTTCAGCTAAAACAGAAATTTAGAAAATGGATTCAGCGTGCTTATATCGTTTTTTATCGGTTTAAACCAAAAACTCCGAACCCTAATCATATATCATTGATAGTCAGATTATTTCCTTCCTATTACGAATATTTCACCTATTTTTACCCCTTGCCATTTCTGAAGGTTGATTACACTCCCGGCTATTTAGTCACTCGGTATTTTCGAGCCTTTGTCCTCCATGCTTAGGTAAGTTAGTGTAGTTCAACCACAGCTGCAATTTCCTAGCTCCAAACATACGTAAATTACAGCTACCAGTGACCAAGACGTAATTAATCGTAACAAGCATCAGCTTTAGAAAGTAAGCTTGAGCAACTGTTTGGAACAGTTTGTGCAATTAATTGTATTCGTTTTTCGCAGCATTGATGATTATGTGGCATTTTACACTTTTCCCATTTGGTGCTTGTTTTACTAAGTTTATTGATTGTACAACCAAGAGCTGAGTTTCAGAGCATCATTGAAGTCGGTTGCTTTATTTCGTCACATCTTTGATGTTAGTCTTTTTTTTTTTTTTGTATAACGGAAGTCCAGAGTCAAAGGGAAATTCAGTCAAATCCAGTCTCCACACACCGGCAGACGGTCAAATGAGGCAAACACTCTTAGTTCACTCTCAGTGACTAAATAATGAGCTCCAGCTTCACAAAATCAACGCCAAAGCACGTGAATTTTAATGAACATTTTTCAATACTGATGCCAAAAGTGCAAATGTCCGCGAAACATTTTTTTTTTTAATTTTATTTCACCGCAAAAATAAACTAATTGCTGAACGCTCAATCCCCGCCCGAATGTAGTGGTCTAGCCCAGACGCCAAAATAGTTTTCCGTTCCTGGTTCTCAAGTTATAAGCGATATTCGGAAATTTGGAATAAGGAAATGATGGCTGACGAAACCCACGAATGCATAGAGGTGAATGACGTCGGCTACCCGGAACGGGCTTCATTTCCTCTTTGAAAGAGTTTGCTTTGGCATCAGGACCGCTAGCGCTGCACTGTGGCGAAGACTGAACGTTGTTCGGCGATGCATAGTTTATTCCTGTGTTGAAACAGAAGTTGTTTTCGGCGTACACCCTGCAGTTCAATTAGATTTAGCACTTTCGGAAAAAAGTGAGTAGTGCCCAGCCACAAAATCACGCGACAATTCATAAAATTGGAGTATCTTAATTAATGGCTGTAACTAAAGTACTGCAGACAACAACAGGGAATGGAGCATAGTATTCATGCAGTAATTCAATTGATACCCAACAAAGCCCCATTCATACTCTACCTTTGTTGACCAGAGTAAGCACCCTCGTTTGCTGCATTTTACCCCGTGGTAGAAGCTGTCACTCAGTAATGCTGGAAAGTGAGTGGAACTCCCGCTGGTTCACGTAAAAGCTTTTGAGTTAGCACGAACTGGCGGAACCTCAGTGTGCTATCGCACTGAGAGGCGCCGAGGCTTCAGCATTGAAAATACAAAACGGCAGGCGGGCTCTCCGGTTCCATTGTAGCCGAACGCCCCAGCCATGGTTACTATAGACAGTCGGCATCCTCAAAAAAGACGCATACTTTCCCAATCTAAACGGCGCTGTCTAAAATGATGCCGACGCTCAGGACGGGACAACCTCCTTGAGTAGAAAGATGTATTAACGAATGAATGTGCAATAAACTCTGATACGTTTTGGGACTCTGCATCGTGCCTCCATGTTGATCAGTTGTCGCGTCAGAACATACTGTACAACGAGCTTTTGCTAAATTTCAGACGTTCTGGAATGTCCCACCCTCAGGCGCTTCCTGGCATGCAGTGTTTATTGATGGAAATGCTGCGCCATTTCCGCCAAATTGCGCCATGAACAAAAGTCTGCTACATCCTGCGCCAAAGTGTCCTTTTTGCTAAAAATTGTGCCACACCTGCGCAAAAACACGCAAAGCAAAAAAAAAAAAAAAAATTTGTTTTAATTTTTTAGGAAAGTATTAGGAGAGAAAATTGGTACAAATTTGTATTGTCAGTATCAACGCACCGTATAATTTGTTTTCTCTTAGTTCAGAGTACAGTGGAAGGCTCAAACACATACTACGGTAAAAGCTCCAGTCACGGGATATTCGCTGCACTTGATTCGTTTAGTCGATGAAAGACCTCGCGGAGGAAGATGGACGGATGCTATAGGATGTTGCGCTCTGACGCTGGATGGTCCCATTGGCTCGTAGCAGCGGCTGCGCTTCAAATTAAGATAAAACGGAGTATTGAGATTGCTCATCAGCCGCGCTGGTCGGTTGATGCGCTGGCGGATTGATCGCCGACATCGTCTAAATTTCCACACGACGTCGGCGGTGTCGAGAGCTAACAGTCGCGAGAAAACATCGCCAAATCGTAGGATGGCGGCTGTGATATGACAGAACCAGTATCTTGTACTCTTGATGAGATCACTTAATTATCATGTCTGCCGAATGCCTCCGTGCCGCCTCTCACCAGCGCGCGCGTGTCCAGCTTCACCGCTTTGCATCGAAACGCTAGGTGCAGCGGCTGACACGAGTGAGCAGCGCGATTGATTCAGTAATTATGCTCAGCACTATTCCACGTCTACTTTTATTATTATTTTTTTTTATCTTGGTGGTAGGTTGATCTTTAATTTCGAAAAATTTGCCAAAAAACCGCAACAACTGCGGGTTTAGATTTGAATAAATGGTAGTCAAGGTTGTTCCCGCGCAGCTGTCAATCTGAAGAACAGCGAACTTTGACTTCCCTCCGGTGCCAACGCCGGTAAGGAGCAGCGTCACTTGCACAAGTGTACGTTTTCATAATATTTGGCTGGTTGCTTTGGCAGTTCATAATTTTAAAGCCTTGAGTTTGGTAGGCTCATGAAACTCGGTGGGTGCGTTTTTGTTGATAGACGAGCTGGTTTTTGCCGGCATTTAACAGAACTTATATATACAGGCGAAGTAAATTACCTGCTGTAAAAGTGCGAGCGGTGAGAAGATTTATCCCAATTGAAGTGTTGCGCTATGATTTATGTTTTATAATTTTTTAGTACCCATTTTAAATGGAACCTTCTCTGACTGGAGCCTTATTTCTAGGAGAAACGCTATGTGTTTTTTTGGTGCCCTATCCTTATCATAAAAGGTAATAAGTAATATGCTCCAGTATCAAAGAGGAACTCTCAGTCATTATCAAATAAAACACAGCGATGTAATCACTTTTTTCATTTTCAAGTGATGTGCTAACAGATGTTGGCACTTGATCCAAAAGTATCAGTGACTGCTCCAAGCCCATGTTTTGCCTGCTACAGAACTTGCTACAAGAGGTAAAATGCAACTTCTATTACTGCGTGTTTGAGCTGTTCAATCATGTTTCCATCGAGTGGAGTTCAGACTAATTTTTATCACACAGATAAACATTAGTCTTACAGTGTTACTGCGAAGCTGTCTAATGAAATCTTACCGTGAGGCACATGGGCACCCAATGAGGTATTTCATAAAAGCATCCAAGTTCTTGTAGGGCGTCTAAAATTTAACTTAAAGATATAGACTGCACGCCGCCAATATGTAAAAGTGACTCTAGGATGAATACAACTGGACCGTAAGCACAGGTCTGGTTGGCAGAGTGACTAATATCAGTCATGATGATCTCGCTGCTGGATCAGATAAAAACAGACGTCCCCCTTCCACACAAATGTTACAATAGAAGTGAGTTTTGTCTGTTACCAATCAAGCACGTTTCACTGCCATAGAAGAGCCACGATGATGACAATTCTTCCGTTTTTCATGTTTAGGTAGACGTGCATTCAGAATGTAACCTTTCTGTCCTCTAACCGGACGCTAGGCAGATACTGAGTACGTGCTCACCTATAAATTTCTGAATTAGCTTTCGAAATTTCAATGGAAGCTACCTTATATCATGATTTTGTTTTACACTATTAATCAGGGTGCAGGAATCAAGTTTTATTTTCAGTCACTGGTTTTAAAAAGG